ATTTGCAGACACGCAGCTGAGGAGCGGGCTTGGCTTCAAAAAAAGGGGCGAACCGGGGCCGAGTGGGCGGGGCCAGGGCAATTAACGCATGCGAAAGGCAACTGGCAATTTGTAGGAGCTCGTTAAGCGTTTAAGGAAAAATGCCAATAGCAGGCTAATTAGTAGGGAAAGGCCATGAAGAAGTGGGAATAAAGTTGCCGCCGCTCTTGGCACTTGGCATTTGCCACTTGGCAAACCTTGGACCGGACTCGTTTTTACCCTCCTCTGACTTATTTTTTTGCACGGACAAGCTGTGTTGGCCCACCTGGGCAAATACTTGTCGAAACTTTTATAATTATGTTCGAGCTATGGCAAAAGTTTCGACGATGTCTCGGACTTCCGACTGAGGCGATGTCTGCTCATTTCTGGCCAGTTGCAAGTTTAGCCGCAGTGAAAGTTGGTTGGCTTTCCTCCTTGCCTCCTTCCGCTTTTCAACTGTTTTCTCTGCACTTCTTTTATTTTTTTATTCAGTTTTTATTTCGAGTACTGGAAGTGGGCGGGGCAACAAGTTAATTATGCGCCTCTTTGACACTGTTCGACTCTGGTTATAGCTCTGAGTTTGTGTGGGTGTGGTTGTGTGTGTGTGTGTGCGGCGCACTTCCGGTCTGTGTGACGGCACTTCCGATGTTGGAGGACAAAAAAAAGGAGGAAATTAAAAATGTCGCTCGGCAAAAACGTCGTCCAGGACTCGTTAATTAAACGCCTGCGAAAAACAAGGGGAAAAACCAGCACCACAATGAGCAGAGGCTGCGGCAGAAAACACTGAAGAAGGCAGTGCAGCATCACCAATTTTTTTAATCAATTTTAAAATGCCACTTAAATGCGCCGGGCGCCAACAAAAATATTCTCATTACTCGTTGGCATTTGCCGGGGGCCAGGGCTGCAAAATTAAGTGATTGAATCTATTTAGTGAAGAAATAAAATTGTATCTTTACAATGTTTCAAAAATATATGGTTTTGTATTGAAAGAATATTGCGATTTATGGGAATTTTTATTTAGAGCTCGCTTATTAAAGTTTAAAAACATTGTGTGAAATTAATAAATACATTGTTATTTAACCATATATACAAATTAAATAATATTTTAGCGGGTAAAAGTAAGAACAAAATTCTTATTCTGAAATGTGTCGTATACGTAATATTTACTTAAACATTGGAGCCAATTTTCACTTTCCCTAGATTTTTTGGGAATAAATGACTACCTTTTCAGATGCTAAGATATGGATTATAGAAGTTCATATGTTCATACTTGAAGATATAATTGTCACATTTTATTTTAGTAATTTCTTCAATTATGAAATGGCGATCCCGCCCTGTGTCTGATATTTTTGTCGCCGACATGTCCTTTGGCGGCTGTTCGGTGCATGCAATTATCGAAAATTTAATTAAAGCTCCAAGTGTCACAATGTCGATGGCTTCACATGAACGGAGTGTGAGTGTTCGGATTCTCTGTGGTGGGTTGTGGCGATGCGGCCTATATTAATGTTAACGCTTTAATGCCTCATTAAGTGGCAACATTGGCTTGCTGGGTGTTCACTGTACAACCAGAAATTGTTTAAGCGAATCTCAAAAGTTAATGAGGAAATACAGTCAACTTGAGTCTTGCTATTTAACATATTGGATGGGAATCTAACAAGCACTATTAGAGTTTAATTGAATTTAACTCGTAAATTCGTTCTTACTCAATTACCTCAAAACATTGTTTTTGGTTTACTATATTCTAGGTGGCGTTGAACTCACCAAAGATTCGTGGACAAATATTTAAAGCTCCAAAGTTTACTATTTTAAAATTTTTCTTATCAACTAGTTGAATAATATAACCCATTAGATACCCCATTTGAGTGCCCCAGCCTTTAGTAAATAACGCTTCTTTGTGTTAGTTAAACGAGCTGTTAAATAACCCCAGGAATACACAATGCCAAATAGACAAATACCCATCTAAAGATACGGACTTAGTTTCGCCCCCCTTTTTCGGGTGGACGATTGGGGACCGTGGTCCAAATTGAAATGCAAGTTGTCGCCGCTGCTGCTCTGTGCCTTCCCACTTTGTTGCTGCTTCTGTTGACAAATGCAAAACCATTTGCCAAATAAATAAGCAGCTCAACGTAAATAAATATGCTTTCGCCACGCGCATTTACACTCAATAAAGATGCTTCAGAAGAGCTGGCCCCAAAAGACGTGGATGCTGATGCCAATGGATGTGGAGGTAGAAATGCACAGAGAAAAATATTTATGAACGTTTTATAACTAAACTTTTAATAAAGGAAATATGAGATTTTTGTATAAAGAAACAAGAATACTGCTTATATAGAATTTTATATTTTTATATTTTATAAATTTTAAGCAGGGCATATTAGTTTATAATTTATATAAGTTTACTTGTTAATTCATTTTATAAATATGGTTTGACATTAAGTACATATGTTAGTGTTTTTTTTATAATTTTAATCTTATAAAAATAAGTTTACAATTAAAATCTTATTTGGAAAATAATTTCACTGAATGAAGAATTAATGGTGCCATTTTCTTTCTGTGTGAGACTGAAATTGGAATGAGTAAGGCAATGGGAATAGCGAAGGCGTCAGCGGGAGTCAAAGGATAAGTCTGGCAGTGCTGAGCATAAAAATTGTATTTTAATGCCCGCGCATAAATAACGCAAACGGGACACACTCACATATAGACACAGGACGTGGCTGACAGGCGGACGTTTTATCAAAAGGAAAAATCCGAGCAGCTTCCTCTCCCAAGACCAGAGTCACTGGCACTAATTTAGGTGCCGAAAAATCAACAGGAAGCAAACATACCAAAGATGAAGGACCCCGAACGGGCGAAGGACGCAGCACGCTTCACTGAACCAGGCGGCGATGACAACTGCCAGAGGAGGGGGTGGTGGACTCCAGGAGGTCCTGGGTGGGAAATCCAATCCTCCCGTGGGTGGAGGGGGGAGGGGATAAGGGGGGGAATGAAGCATCTTCATCATCAACGACTATGGTGGCGGCATATGTTAGCGTTAGGCGCTGGCGCTCATCAATAAAATCATCGGGGTCATTAAGTGGATTAACTGCAGCCATCAGGAGCATGTGGTGCCATTGCCCAGGACGCAAAATGCCAAATACGCACACTCTGACACTCACACTCACACTCACAGTCACACTCACACCCACGGCCACACGCACACAAACACAAACACAATCCAGCCTGAAGATGGCCGTCATCTTTGGGGTTTGCTTTCGCTCCACACTTTTCACTTCATAACAGAGCAAAGAGATCCGAAAGTTGGATGGGTGCAGGGTATTTTATAACCGTGGGTTGGATTACAGTAGTCTCTCAATATAAGTATTATTATTAATTTATTTATGGGGTGTCAGAAAAATTTCTGGTAGTTATTTATTTGAAATATTATACTTTGCTGAATAAAAGCATACCATATAAATCGGGACACAAATTTAATGTAGCCAATTCACACTTCTCTTCTGACCTCCAAATTTAAAAAAAAAAATTAATAATTTCAGACTTAAAAGCAAAAAGCAAGATTAAATTTGTGTATTTTTTTGTGACAAAAAAAACCAGCATTTGTTCTTGTTATTTCCGAATGCCAAAAAACAACAAATTACTCTGATGTTGTTAAATAATGACTAGTATGTCAATATTTAACAAAAAAATTTATTTAATGATTTTTTTATTACTAATCGTGAAAGAACATTAACGTAATATGTTAAAAGAGGATAGAGTTGAGCAGGATGCAAATCATATATTTTTTTGTAAGAATGTATTATATTTAAAAAATATTGTGGCTTTGCAGAAACACAAACATTAAAGTGTTCTCATTAAGTATTTTATTTTAAAAAGCCAAGTTTTTTTTAATGATTTATTTAAATATTTATTATTGATTGTTTTCTATTTTTAACCTAACTTTCAAGCTTGCAGATACTTTTAAATCTCTGCCACGGTGCAACGCCCCATCACGTCTGGAGGATGGCAAAATGTTTGTGTGCTCGTTGCATGGATGAGTCCTCCTCCCTTTATCCACCATTCTTTCTGATTCTCGGCCACTTCCATACTCCACATCCTTTGGCTCTTCTTCTTTGTTATGGCATTCCTCGGAGCCAAAGCAAAACAATGAAAAAAGGCGGCGAGGATGTCCTGTCTCGGTTGCTGTTGTTATTGACATGTACGAATTAGGTTAAATTTATTTACTGTCAGTTCAGTGAACTGCAAATGGTTTTAGTTTATTAAATTTACCCACATGCACATCCACTCACCCACAATCTGTCTTAAGTTTGTTAAAATGTTAAAAGGCAAAAAATCAAGATTGAGCTATCTTGAGCATCAGAGTACTTTGCTTTTAATTTGCACAGTTGTAAATTAATTTTCAAAAGGACTAAAACCCATCCACCGCTACGATTGTGGCTTGATTAATCGTTTCTGCATGGCAAACGAAATAGAGGAGTTGATGGATGAAAAGCGAAGGGGAACTGCACAGAGGGAAAATATGATAAAAAATTAAATTTCTTATTAAGAACTAAATTTTACAGCATTAGAATTTGTTGTTTTGTACTGCATAAAAGAAGACATTTCTTTTAAATGTTTAAAGGGCTTTTATGTATTGCTTATTAAAAACATTGTGCAAGACTTTAATTATTTTTAGTACGAAATTCTTTTCTAAGTAATAGGTTTTATGGTTTTGTTTAATCGCACTAAAAATTTGGATGGAAAGTAATGGATTTTTCCACATTTGTGTGTCCCAAGAATTGCGTGAAATAGTAATCCACCTAATCAGTTTAATAACTTCATTACTCATAATTGAAATCTATGCTTTACGTTTATAAAATAAATTAAAAATAGAATTGTCAAAGCTATAAAGGGCTTATCAATCCCACGAAAACTTAGCATGAACTTGGTGATCTGGTGTTCTTAAATACGTCGGTTTTTGATGTGAGCTCGTCAGTCGATTTGCGAATATGGAGAGCACTATTCAAGTTTTTGGCCTGCTCTTTCTGCTGGGCTTTGCAGCTGAATCAAGTCCATTTCCCAGCCCCAATGCCACCGCCGTTCATCAACTTTTTCAACGCATGGACTCAAATGCCGATACCTGCAACTATTTCCAACAGTTCTCCAGCGGAAGTTACTCGTATAATGACAATTGTCGCGCGATCCAGAACTCAATGTCAAACACTTTCAATGGAAAGTTGCGTACGATGTTAAAGCAACTAAGAAAGCAAGCTTATCATAGAAGAACCAGTGTGGAAAAAAAGGTGTTGTGGTTCTACGATTCCTGTCTAACAGCTCCCGAAGAAACCTTCGCCTGGGAACACTATCTCGAGGTATTGCCACATGGTCCCAGACTCAACTGGCCACCTGCTTATCGCAAGACTGGTAACCAAACATTCCAGTGGCAGAGGACCTTGGCCAGACTTCGTCTCGTTGGTCTTCGGAATCTCCTCTTCGATGTGGACGTGGCTCTGGATCCCACAGATAGCAGCAGGACCATAGTTCTCTTCAGAAAGCCGATCATCAAGGAGATCCAGAATAACAAGGAGAACGCAAATTTGCTGAAAAGCCTGGGAGTCCGCAACGATACGGTTTTGTTTTTGGGCAATAAAATTTCGCAGCTGCAAAAAGCAATACAAAAGCTTGCCGCAAAACGTGGGACTATGGAAAATCTGTCCATTAAAACGCTCAAGAATCGGACTAAATTACCATTAACGCAGTATCTTAAAATTGTCTTTGGAAGGTCCATGGAATCAAACTCTACGGTTTGGGTCGAAGATATAGAATACCTGGAAGGTCTGAGGGCAGTGATAGATAAATACGACGGTGCAGTTTTAATCAACTACTTGATGGTCAGTTATATCCGGTATCTGGTTGGCCTGAACGATAGTCTACCTGGACGAAAACGCGGTAAATGTATAGCTGCAGTTCGAGTTTTAATGCAGCCGGCCAGCGAGTTGCTCTACAATAAGTATTATCCCCGTAATAAAGAGGAAGTGCAGCGATTGTTCGATGACCTTAAATTATCTTTCTTGAATTTGCTGACGAGGAATCGACTGAATCTAACTGATGAGGATTTGTCCCATCACGTGCGGCAACAGCTTTATATGACTGTGTCTGTGGGAACGCTGCCAGATATTGACGATCAAAGCGGCCTTGTTACGAATTTGTATAAGAACTTGAAAATCGACAGGGGTTCGGACTTCGCCATAGCCCATCTGAAAGTTCTGCAGCATCGGAATAGACGTGTCCTGGCGCAACTACATAAACCGGCGCTCAAGGAAAACCGACTTTTCAATCTCTCTCCTGAACCCTATTATGAGATTAGTGAAAACAACATAGTCGTGCCGTTTGACACACTGCAGAAGTCCTACTTTTCGCCTAATATTCATGAAGCCTTCAGGAAAAGCCTGCTGGGATTCGTGATAGCCCGTCAAATGTTGGTGAACTTTGCGCCTCAAATACAGCCCATATCTTTGATAAACCAGAGCGATGTCCCCGGAATCTCCTGTGTTAATCGAAACTGCTCAAGTGGTTTTACCGACGATGAGAAGGATGTATTGGCCTTGGCACTGATAATGGAAAGTCTCTTCGAAAAAGACTCAGAGTTAAGGCAGAAACATCCCTCCTATTTACGCCTGTCCTCGAGGGAAGAGTTTCTCGTCAACTTCGTCGAAATATTCATTGCACCCAATTGTAAGCCTGACACGAACAAATTTCGCCTTAGCCAAGCAGTTCAAAATCTAAGACCATTTAAAGAATTATTTAAATGTCAAATGTCCCCGACTGAAACCGCCATTGAACTGCGAAATCTTGTAGAAAAGCTGTGGAATACAATTTAAAACACATTTTTTGAAAGTTAAGTTAATAAATCTGAAAAATAAATGTACACTAATATAAAATAAATATGAATTCTCTAGTCTTGTCATTTTTATATATACATTAAATTGTTGCTATGTGGAAAGGGGCACTCTTATCTTTTAGGCTTAAACAAAAAATACAAACAAAGCAAGTCGAACAAATTAAGCATATTCTTTAATGAGCTTTAATATAAGCAAATAAAAAACAACAAAAAACATTTTAATTACTATTTCCGGAATTGGTTGTAGAATTTTTAGTCTCGCTAATTAATACGATTTCTAAAAGATTACATATACATTTACTTTTGAGTTTAACAAATTTTAAGAAATATTGTATTTACCATTTTTGGTTATTAATATAATGGGCTTACCCAACCATAATGTTGTAATTTAATAAATATAATGGAATGTAACCTAAATTAATTTTGACATTTTAGAAACATCTCCAATAACTAAATTTATCTAAATATATTAAATTAAAAAAAACTTTAAGAAAGAACGTAATAAATATGTGTGTGTTACTTCTTGCTAATTTCTCTATGTGTAGCACTAGAACGGCATTAATCAGCGCACGTTGAACGCTGCTCATTTATTTGGAAGTGCGCAAAAAACGAAAACCAAAGCCAAAGTATGGCTCAGTTCAGTTCGGTTGAGCTTGGTTCAGATCGGTTTGGAGGGATTCCTGTTCGGAAAAATTAAAAAAATAAAACGAAATTCACTTCAACAAATGGCTGTGGCAGTCAAAGTTAAGCTGCAAGGGCGGCAAAATAAAAAATGACTGAGCGCGCCCTTGCTAAAAGCATTTCACAAAAGTTTGATAAACAGGGCGCAGGGGGCGTGGCTGGATGGGAATGTCAGGATCCATCAAGCCGCTGCGCTAAAAATCAATTAAACCGAAATTACGCATACGACATGTGTGCCAATGGCAAACAGCTTTCACTTTTGCGCTGAGCGACTTTTTCGTGGAATTATCGCCGGCAAATTGATTTTGAAACTGCTCGTTCCACCTCCGTTTTCGTTCACTTTTTTTACTGAGGCCCAAACGTGTTAAGCGTGACGTTTGAAAGTGGAACAAAGTTGTTTCAATATTTGCCAGAAATCTCATATGTTGGCAAATAAAATTTCATTTGCAATAAACTGAAAGTGAAATTGCACTCGCAGCTTAAATGCAAGGGCTGTAAAATTTAAAAAAAAGTTTGGAGAAATATTCACCAACACTTTGTGGCTTTCTTATCTTTACAAATTCAAGTTTAACTTTCATCGCATTTTAATTTTTTTCTATAACTTTCGTTGGTTTTGCATTCATCAATATTGAATGCACCATCTGTTTTAAACGCTACTTTTCCAACTTCAACTCCAAACTGCATTAAATAAACTTTAACGTTCAGCTTTATTTCCACATTTAATGACTAAGACTTCGGAAGTTGAGAGGAAATTAAGGATAAAATGTTGCAAATAGGTTGTTAGCGGCAGCATTGGCTGTTCACCTGGACAAATTAGTGTTGCAATGTGCTTAGGTCGGCACTTTAAAATATTTATATTTGCATCGGGCCACATGGCGTATGCGCTATATTCTCGGGCGCATACGGTGTGTGCATGATAAACAATAACCAGGAAGGCACAAGCCGAGGATTTATGTTGTCGTTTGAGACTTACCTCACCACCCACTTTGCAGTCCCCTTTCCACCCCTTTTCACCCCCCTTTCGCCACCCTTTCTACTCTATTTTCCCTCCCCCTCTGTCACTGCCATATGCCATGTATATGCAATTATGCGCCATCTGCTTGGGATTCTGCGGTTGTCTGACTCGCGGTGCTCGCCTGACCGCAACAAATACCCAAAGAAAGCGAACAAAAAGTGGGTGTAAAAATATAGAAAAAAGAAAGGAAAAATCTTTGCGTATGTATACAGAAACTGAAGCATACTTTATAGCGCACACCTTACTAACTTTTACTCTGCCACAAGTTATAATTAAGATGGTACACGGCGTAAGGGGTTGTAACTTTTTTGCTGATTTTTGGGAAATTCGTTGTTGCTGATACGCTAAAGATGTTTGGAAGGAAAAATACCAGAAATAATTAGATTTTAACTTTGCTTATTAACTACCTATGCACAAACGATATAAATCATTCGTGAAAAGCAACGTAATGTAGTAAAGAAAATCTATATATTTTAAATAACTAAGAAACCATTTATTATTAGGCTTTAATATATTTGGAATATATAAAGAGCTTATTAGCAACGCAATTTAAAGGAAATTAAATTTACTCACACATAGCTTATGAAAGTAACTTACTTTACTACATAAATTATTACCAAAATTTGCATATTATTAAAATACATTAATAAAAAATCAAAGAGAAAATAAAGTGTTTATTATAGTTCAATGCCTTTATTACCAATAATTAATTATTATACTTGTAATATGTACACGAAAGTATATAATTATACGCATAATTACAAGTTGTAAAATTACCCATTTCCTATTTAACTTAGCTATCTCAAAGGATCTTTTCACTTTCCCTAAGCCAAAAACTAGAACGAAAACAAAAACAGAACCCGGCCAAAACACAAAAAGCGACGCCGACAATGACATCTTAACCAAGAATCATAATTGCTTTTAATGTTTATTAACTTGGCCATCAAGGAACGACGAGGAGGGAAAAACATTGTGCCTGGTTCCGCATGCTAAAATAAAATCCAATTAGCGTTTTCTTACCACTTGCGGTGAAGTCCCCTGTTGTTTTTGTTGTTATTATCCTTCGTCCTTGTTTTCCTCCATTTTACCGTTTTAATTTTGTTTGATAAACACGCTCGCTTTTCAAATTAAATTACACGCAACTAATTTGTTTTTGTGATTTTCACACACACTTTCTGTGTCCTTGTGGATACGTTCACATGTGACTGCTTATTTAGACTGTAAGAGATTATTTTGAAAAGGCCAAAAAGGAAAATAAAGAAGACTAGCTTTTGATTAAATTTGATATAAAACCTTTAAAAATTAAATTAATAAAATGTATTATAATGATGCTGAGGAAGTGATTATGCGAGATATAAGTTGTTTCATTTCAGTAGTCCCAGAATATTGTTATGTTGTAGCCATAATTATTTACTATTAACTTTTGGCAACTTGATTAAGTAGATTACATTAAAAATTACTTAAAGTCAAATAACATAAGTCCTTTGATTTTTGGGGTTTTCAGTAAATTTGTAATGGCATTTTCCCATCAATCTTGACACTTGAAACCAAAGGACCCGAACTATTGTTGCCGAAAAAACTCCTTTAAAACCATTAATCACAGTGGCCACTCGACCGGAGAGCCACTCTCACCTCGCACCTGCCAAGGACTTTCACCTTATTAGTTCGAGAGCGAACGGGAGGACCAGTTAATTAATAGGATTAACTACCAAAAAAGCAAACACAATTGCTGGCGGCTGACGCTCTCCAAAGCAAACAATAACACAAAGGACTTTGGCCAGAGGAGGTGGAAAATGGAAGGCCGGGTACTCTGCGGGTGGCAAACATCATAATACACTCACCAAAACAAAGCCACTGAATATTGGAAATCAAATTAACTTTGTTAAAAATCTTAAAACCAAAAATTATTGTTTTAACATTTACATAAAGATAAAAAACTAAGCCGAGAGAAAAGTGGAAAATACAATACTTAATATTTAGTAAACATTATTTAAATAGTTTTTATTTAATTTGAATTTATTTTTTAGCTCTTCTCATTTTGTAAAAAAGTTATCCTTTTTTCAGTATAAAATATATTAAGATATATTTTTTTGTTTACAGCAAAGAGTAGATTAAGTAGATTTTTTTAGGAACAGTTTAATACCATTAAATTGCTTCGATATTTGGAATTTATATATTGCTGTTTTTTAAGTGTACACACGTTCGTCCAAACTTTTCACTAAGGGTATATGTGTGGCTCAGATGTCGGCAGCTAACGCGCTTTAATGCAGGTGATTAATTGCTTTTGAGGTTCCGTCGGCTGAGTGTTGGAAAATTTTGAAAATTTCATTAACTCTTGTGTGAAAGTTTTGCGAGCTTTGAGCTCCAGTCGGTGGGTTTTCCAAGGCACAGGGGCGAATCTCTGCCGCTGAGTGACTTTTGTAGGCGAGCATTTCTATTTGGCTTAGACGGCGTCTAATTAAGTTAAAGTCTCCCGCCCGACAGCTGCCCCGCCCACTCGGCCTCCGATTGAAGCCCCTGCTAATGATGCCGGCTGACGGGCTTTAAATTGTTTTTGATTTACTTATTTCCGCTCTGATAAATTACATTTGCCGACGACAAAGTTCACTCGACAGTTTGGCTAATGCGCAAACTTTTCGCGGCAACTGTTGTGCGTGTGTAGTAAAAAGCTTGTTGGGAATTTGAATAATTTATTCATATGTTACGTGGTTGTCGCTGCTTGTCGTCAACGGATTCGCGCCCAAACGCGCAGCCTTAATGCAAATTTAATTAGCCCCGAGTCTATCAAATTGTCATCATACAGTTGCAGCTCAACTTTCTTAATGCCAAATGTGTTTTCTGCTTTTTTTTTTTTTCTGTTTTTCCTTTGAGGAGAGCAAACAAATCTAAGCACAAATTTATTTGCCCAAGCAAGAGGAGCTGATAAAATTGAGCACTTCTGTTAGTGGAGCAGCTGCAAAAAGGCAAACAATTTTTATAATTTATTTGCTCCGCTTGCAACTGTGCAGAAAATGTCATAAAAGATTGTTGAATGTCCGTAGAAGGGGACTTTGGATTTTAGCAGGATTATAACAACTTTTGAAGTGAAAAGAGAAAATTTATTCTTTCGTTTGCGGGCTACTCACTTCACTCAAGATGACGTTGGCCAATAAAACCTGTTATCTAATCCCCGGAAATAGTTAGTACCTCGGCACCCTTTTACACGCCTCTGTATGGGTTGCAGTGAAAAATGAAGGGCGCCGGAAAATGCAAGTAGTAGGAAATTGTTGCATTAAAAATGCATTTTCTGAACAAACTAGTCAAGTAATAATGAAATTTTTCTTGGTAAGGTCTTGTGCTGGATGGGGTAAGTTTAAGGGAAAAGCAAACCCAATAAAAATGTGTACTTAAATCATTGAAAAACAGCCTTTCTCGTATAATAAAAATGTATATATTTTATTACTGAAATGAAAATGACTTTTTATATACATTTTTATAAAAATGCAGGATAAGAAACCAAACAAATTACAAATAGAACAACTTTATTAAACCGATTACCCACAGCAAGAAATTGAATATGTTTAGGCAATTGGTATCTTGTAAAAGTTTTGTAAATGGCCTTCATCAAAGGTTACCTATGCTGCTAAGCAATGATATTTTGATATTCGCAGCATTAATAAAAAGTTTTCGCCTCACGAGGAAATTCAAAGCTTTTCGCAGACAAAGCGCATTTCGATTTCAGGGAGCCCAAAAGATTACGAAGCGGGTCCTTGGCAACAGGACCTCTCCAGGGCTTTTCCTTTTTGTTCCTTTTTGGCAATCTGCCTCACGCACTCAAACAAACACACGTCCTCCGTTGAGAGGGAAAACTTGAGGCTGTCAGGACATAATTGGCGTAATTCAAGAGGCTGGCAAATGAAAAATGAGCCCAGATTTCTTTTTTTTTTTGAGGGCCCGAGTGTGCAAATAAATAAATAAATAACTCAGAGGGATGCCAAGTGTCAAGTGGGGGGCAGTCGTTCACAGGGCCTCAGACCTAAACCATAAATAACAAATTTGATTTTGATGGGCCATTTGTTCGTGTGCTAATTCGAGCCGAGTCCGGGCCAATTAAAAAGCCCGTAAGAAGTGCAAATTATGACAGCGCCGCAGATGCATTTGCCAAATGTTAGTTTTTGGCTTAATTAGCTGGCCAAGGACGGCG